ATATATATATATATATATATATATATATATATATATATATATATATATATATACGCGTAGGAATTGATGATCATTTAATCACTATAGCACTATAGCTGTATTCTTTGACTTTACCAAAGCTTACGATAGTGTTGATCATATATTTCTATTATTAAAACTTAAGCAATGTAATCTTTCACCTAGTGTTTTGAAATGGTTTTATTCGTACCTTAAAAATAGGCGACAATCGGTAAAAGTTCAAGAAAGACAGTCTTCCTGGAAGTATGTCAATAATGGCGTTTCACAGGGTAGTGTTCTCGGACCACTATTATATGCTATATTTATAACTGAGATAGGAAAACTTATAGACTCCAAGCATATCTTTTATGCTGATGATTAAGTGATTTACCTAATTAGTGGGCGAGCTATTACAAATATGAATGCCATTATTGTGAAAATTGAGAAATTGTGCTGTAATAACTTACTCAAATTAAAAACAAGTAAAACAAAGATTAGCATTCATGGTAGTCCCCAGCATGTTAAAAATTTAATCTGCTTAAGTTAACTGCTCCTAAAATATTGGTGAATGGAAAACCCATCGAGTATGTTACATCTGTGAAATATCTTGGCGTAATCATGGACAATATGCTCTCTTGGCATCAACAAATTTTATCTGTTAGTCAGCAGACTATGAATTGTTTAGCTCGGCTTAAAATGAACAGTAGATTGCTAAATACTGCAATGTGAAGAAGACTAATTTGTGCACTTATTTTGCCAATCTTTGAATATTGTAGTGCGGTTTATAGGAATATTGCTGGTAATCTGCAACGAAGGAATTTTTAATTATGTGCGTAGTGTTTTAAATGTTGCATTTAAATCATGAAAAATTACTGCACAATAGTTTCCACATTTTATCATCTGTTAGAGACCGAGCTGTACGTTAGAATGATGTATTTCATCAACCTATGTGCAGGACAGTAACTTTGGAATGCTCGTGTTCAATGACTGCAATTAAGTTGTGGAATCAACTACCTTCGAATCTTGATGCTTCAGAAACTTTTAAAGACTTCGAAGCTTCTGCATGTAATTTGTTTTTTAACCCTTTACCGCCGAAGCTGGACTAAGTAAGCCGCGTGGCACCGAAGTAGGGATCGCAAATGACGTGCGCTGACTGTCCCCACTACCTGAGTTTATGGGACTCGTGTTCGGTCATTACTGTCTAACAGCTATTAAATGGGTTCTGTTGGTGCCCCGTTTAAAAAACATTTGTCACCTGCAGCGTTGTCAAATCCTATTATTATTTAAAACAATGGTAGGTACGCTACTGCTCATGAGAGCACACGCACACACACTAACGCAGATACGAGCCATCTGTTAGACAGTCCGCAAAGTGAGGGAAACGACCAGAAGCCTCAGAGGGTTAATAATGATATTTAATGTTGCTCAAATTCAATATCTTCATAATCTTTATAACTTTTAAATAAATAATTATATAATTGTATTGCATAATTCACAATGAATCTATGTTTTGTATTGCATAGTCTTTAGGGAAGACTTGTTCTAAGATTAACAAATAAATACATATATATATATACTTGTTTCAAAAGAGTAATATTCCAAATTTTTGTCATTTTCATTATACAATTTGTTGCTTTTTGCTATTTTCCTGATAAATTATGAATGCTTCTGTGATAAGAGTTTGGTGGTGTCGAAACTGAATAATCATTGAGACATTTTCGTAAATTTTTTATTTTCATGACCAGCTCGTCACAATCAATATTGGCAATGCGTCATATATACGTGAATAAACTTTATGCAGCTATATTAATTTCCACTTTCATCGATCAATGAGTAATCCTTTTTCAGTAGATAGCACATTCTGAGAGCGAGCATTAGATTTTGCGAGTGATGCCAGCGATTACTCGGGATTAATCCATGCTTTTTGTGTTTGAGATTATTTGTACACCTAACATTGTTCAAGATAATTATTACCATATAATAGTATATTACACACCTTGGAAAGTAAAGTAAGAAATGTCGCAGATCACATGTAAATGTTGGCCGAGGCGAAGCCGAGGTCAACAAACATATGATCTGAGGCTTTCTTATTTACTTCCCGTAGAGTGTATACTATTTTTTTGCTCGACGAAGACAGATAGCGGCAACTTCGTTTAGCGCAGCGGGCCGAAAGTTGACGCTTTCTGCCCGTCGAGCAAAAAAATTCATATTATGTTACCCTCGATCATGAGCAAAAATTTTTGCTGTACTAAGAAAGCAAATTCTTACAATTATTAACTATTTGGGTAGTATTTTCTTTCATCATTTTATGACAAGTCCACTGATTTTCCGCTTGAATTTTCTCCATAGCATGCAATCGAAGTGACAATAGTTGATAGTTAACTCCCACTGGTTTTACGAGCTCTTTCTGAACGTGACATGGTTTTTTACCGAAAAAAAATTCAAGTTCTTTTCAACTTCCCGCTAAAAAATCGAAGATTTTCAAAAATCGGGAAGTTATTGTTTTCACCCCGTTTTGCCAAAATCAAGCTTTCATCAGATCTCGACGTTTTAAGGCCACAGGAAGCTTCCCTGATGACTCCCGCGATGTTGTCACTATGTATATATATATATATATATATATATATATATATATATATATATATACATACATACAGACATAGTGACAACATCGCAGGGGTAGTCAGGGAAGCTTCCTATGACCTTAAAACGTCGAGATCTGATGAAAACACGATTTTCTCAAAACGGGGTGAAAACAATAACTTCCCGATTTTTGAAAATCTTCGATTTTCTTAGCGGGAAGTTAAAAATTGCCTAACTGAAAACAATCGAGGATTGCCTCTTCTGTTGACGAGTTTTAAACAATATATCATAACATTATGAATTCGTAACATGATTAAATTTGATAATTTAATTTTTACTGCATTTCAATGTCTATTTCTGTTGTAAGTAAAGTCCATAAGGATAGTTCTCGTCATACACACTCATGATCCGATATGGTGTACTGGTTAGCATATCTGGCTTTCACCCAGAAGATCCGGGTTCGATTCCCGGTATCGGAATTTTTTTTTTCAGAATTGTATGAAATAATTAATTTTTTGCATTTACGATTTTAATAAAGTGATATATTCGTATATTTGTGAAGATTTAACACGAACGGCTCGCCTAACCAAAAAAGTAATCATCTCGAATGAAACGTCTTGATGGTCGTACACAGCATAATGTATGATTCAGTTCTTTAAGTTAATATTGAAAAACACTTTTTTTCTCTTGAATGATGTACGCAATTTTATTCAGCTTTTATTATTCATTATAAAACAGAATATAGCATAGCGGAGAACGTGTAGCTTATCAAGATTTATCACTTATAAGATTAATGTACATGCACAGTAAAAAATTTTGCGTCTTTGCGTCAAAAAAAATTAGGAATACGGTTGACCCTAAAGACCATCCCTGCAACTTCCCGCTAATTCCATACTTGAGCGCTCAAAATTGCACTTATTACGTTTTTGAGCTCGTCGAGCTCAAAAATATTAATTTCGTGTCATTTTGAGCTCTCCGAGCTCAAAAATCTGATAGGATTTTAACGAAACACTATTTTTTAGATTTTCAAACCGCAATAACTTTTGAATGAATGAACCGATTTTTACGCGATTGGCGGCATTCAATGTAGTTTTTTAGGCCTCATTGGAAATTTTTAAGTTTGAATTCTGAAGTCAGAAACATTGAGTGTGTCTGCAGGTAGAATGGATGTTAATAAGGTTTTATTATCAGCTAGGCGGTCAGTACCTGAGCCTTTATTAGATTCAGGGGCATTAATTACGATAAAATTTGATTCGCATCTCTTACGATCGTTAAGCTCGAAGATGACCTTCTCAGTGGATGGCATGATGTCGAGTGACTTCAATTTATTTTCAATGGATGAGATTTTATCATTCATGCCTTAATACTTGTTAGCAAGAGTGTTGTTTTGCTTTGTTAATTTATTGATATCGTCTCTGAGGAGAGACAGACTGTCTTCGATCTGACCCCGAAATTTATCAAGTTTGTCCTCAATTTTACTAGTGAGTCTTTGTAAGATCTGTTCGATCATGGGATCCATGCTATTTAGCGAGTTGTTAGGTATACAATCACCATAATCATCTTCAACATCAGAGGCTACACGGACACTGACTTCATTTACACAGCTATTACACTCCCATAGGAATTTGTCGTTTTTAACTTTATTTGCTATTTTTTTAAACTCGACATTAGACATAGGTTATGTTTTTTTGGTGGAGGCATGATAAGTCCGATAAATTGCACGAGATAAGTGATTTTTTATTTCACTATGGAAGTATTAGAGTTTATTAGTTTAGAAAAAAAAAAGCGGCATGATGGCCGAGCGGACTAAGTCATTATCTCGTTAGTTCGTTCGGGCATCTTGTCGTGAGGCGAGGGTTCAATCCCCGACGGTTGTTCGAATAGTTCCAACACCAACCGTCCAAGATCGCTTCGATAGCCGACTGTACTGTCATGGGTTTTCTCTGTGGTTTCCCCATCGCCACTATTCCAACAACCGATAGAAAGGGGTGAGGAATAGGGTAAATGCATAGTACAGAAAGCACAAGTCGGTCCACAGCCGCATTGGAATGAAATTATATGTGCGAAAATTATATGTTGATTATAAAAAGTGGAGAACATGTTGATTATAAAAAGATTGGAGAATATGTTGATAATAAAAAAGGTTGAAAAATTGTGGTGATAACATAGAACGGAAAGTAACCTTGTAAAAACCAGAAAACGGTATACAAGTAAAACTCAAAATAATAATAATAATAATAATAATAGTTTAGAAAAAACTGAAAGACAAATTAAATATATGTTCAATTTGTTTATTTAATATTCAGTAGAATCGGAGTAATTTATTCCACGTGTTTGCTTGCATGAGCATGCGCAATAAATTTAATAATAATAAAAATAATAGAAATATTAATAGTATTAATAATAATAGTAACAGTAAAAGTATTAATAACAGTAATAGTAATAGTAATAATAATAACTAGCAACCTTGCAGTCACTATGTGACCGTCGTAACTTGTGAACTATAAATAAAAAAATTTTGCTTTATAAAATGATGACTTTTGTTAAATTGCACTGTACTTTCTTAACTACTAGAAATTTGAATAGCGCGCTACGCGCGCGCCTAAATTTTAACCAATAATGAATCGTGGCCCGTTTTTTGCGAGTTTCGACCTTTGACTAACTTCAAGACTTTCATGTATTTTAATTTAGAGGATTAACGTTTTTAAAGATATAAGCTCATCCCGATGTTACATGGAGAGAATTTGATGATAAATACTACTATCCAAGTATTGTAAAAACAGGCTACCTAAGATCAATAATTGCAAATACTATTCTGATTGGTAACTGTACAACATAGATATATCTATAGTTAAATTTACCATCTGAATAATAATTATTATAATCTTGCTGATAACTTAAAGATCGTGAACTTAATCATAGTATATGGGGCATTCCACGCCAAATCGGACGGTTTCAAAAATTTGAATTTTAGATATTCTCAATTTTTTGGTATTTTTTAGTACCCCTCAAAAGAGGCCTCCTGATAAATTTTGAGATTTTTTTGATCACTGGTTTAAAAAATATCAAACTTTCAAAAAAACCGCTCTTTTTTTTGTTTTTTGCTCGTAACTTTCTTAATGATGATCGAAATTCAAATTTTTTTCTCAAAATTTTTGTTTTGAAATGCCCTTTTCAGAAAAAAATATAAAAAAAATATTTTAATTATTTTTCATTGAGATTTTTTAATTTTAAGTTTTTAGTCGGGTTTTCCAAATTTCATATATCCGTCGATTTTTTTTGAAAATTTGCTATTTTGAACTTCTATCCATCCTTCAACTTTTAAGCCCGGTCCAGTAATGGTCCTTGCATAACAACTATTTTTCATCGATTTTTACAAGTCAAAAATTTTTTTTTTCCGCTATCAATTATAATTGATCAATTATAAAAACGAAAAATTTCAAAAAAAATATTTTTTCAAAAAATCTCTTAAATGGCTTCACCGATCACTTCCAAAAACTAATCAGCTCTTAACCTTGAAAAACCACGTCGATTGTTACCCGTCCCATCAAAATCGGTTAATTCATTCGAGAGTTATTAAAAAACGAAAAATCCGAAAAAAGTGTCCCGTGTAAAAAAAAATCGTCTTAAAATTGTCGTTCGTTTAAGATCTTAAACGTGACACATACTAAAACTATTTTAAGACTCTTTTAAGATGCCAAAAAAAAAAAAATTCCGAGATTTTTTAATAATTATTTTGATTTTTTTAAGATTATTTTGAGATTTTTTTCAAGTACGATTTTTAAGATTTTTTTCAAGTACTATTTTAAGA